GGGGGGCGAAAGAGAAAAGTAATCTTCTGCCAGATAGAGTGCCTGGATGCAAAGGGCAAGCACTGCTAAGGGTTTCTGAACAGCTGCTAAGCAATGCAACGAGACAGCTCATACCCCTCCACTGAAGGGATGGAGATACGAGACTCCTCCAGGCTACAGAGGAGGGCACGTTCACTGGCTAGGAACTGGGGATTACAATACAGAACACACTTACTGTGTAGGACGACTTGCTAGTGATCTCCAAAAGCTTCTGCTTTGCTCTTCGCTCAGATTCACGAGCCTCCTGAAGGTCTTGCTTTAGCTGATCAGCCTCCTTCGCCCTACAAAGAAAAATAGCAAATGGCAAATATCAGACTGAAGTTGAGAGGAATGAGAAGATGGAGAAGCAGGATTACAGTGTAGGTGCAGAACAGGTTGATATCTGTCCCACAACAAGACCTAAACTAAGTAATCTTCGAGCAAGGGAAATGCCAGAACCTCTGACATGTGGGATGTTTTAATTAGCACAAAAATCCAAGCCACAGAAGGGCAGCTCTTACACAGGCTCTGTGTGAGCACCGGTGAGCAAGACTAAGGGCTGGAGAAGCGTGCTGAGATGCCAGAATGGGGAGAACAACTTCAGAAGTTAAGCTCAGACTTACAGCAGGAGAGGCAGTTTTCTGACAAGTAGGCCTCTACTAACGATTATTTACTACATTCAAAAGGGAAAAAGCACCCAGGATTGCACAGCTTTGCCTACTTGCAGGGCCCAGCAATTCTAAAGCTAGTATTTACCCTTGAGCCTCAAGGATGCGCCACCCCCCCCCCCCCCCCCCCCCCGCCAGCTTATCCCTGGGAAAATTTACTTCGTTTGAGCCAAAGGAGGGAAGGAAGTCTGCCAGAATGAAATTTGAGTGGAGACTTCACAGAATATAGACCAAGGCAAGAAAAGATGGACAACAGCAGTGTTCATCCAAGCAGGAGGGCTGACACCAAGCAAGCTCTCACACGGAAAGGAGTAATCAGTTGGAAGGAAACAAGAATGATCTTTTACTTGCTTGCTACCAAACACACCATGGGACCTGGGCTCTGTTATCAGGAGGATGGTAACGCCAATTTTAACAAGAAGCAAGGACTCCAAGAGCTAGGGAGACCTCAAGGCTAACCTGACCTCAAGGCTAACTCACAACTGGTAAGGAGAACTAAACAACTGAGAGGTAAATAGAGAAATAAAGAGAAAATAGGGAATGTAGATCTACCAGCCAGAAAAAAAAAAAAAAAACCAAAACAACCAAGTGTTATTAATGTTGTCATATACTTTGGGGAATGCAGAGTGGGTGGTTTGCAGAAATCACCCAAAAGTAGAGCTGGCTTCTGCTGCTGCTGTCAGGGCGCGGAAGGCAGAGTGCCAAGGACCACAGTACCTTCTCCCCCGCTAGCTGACGGCCCCTTTCCCTGCTGCTCTCGCCACAGTATCTCTCCCAAAGAAGGCTTCAGAGAAGGGTCTCCAGCTCCAGTCCCGGAAGAGATCAGGGCCACCACTGCTCTACCAGCACCGTTTCCCACTCAGGGACAGCCCAGCTGTGGCAAACAGCGAGATGGAGAGAAAACCAGCTGAGCCTTGGGGTCATTTGCTGTTGTACATGCACAGGGGGCCAAGGGCTCACTGCAAACCATTGGATGGACTAACTCAAGGCACGAGCCACTCTTTCAGCTGAGTCAGAAGGGGGTTGGAAAGCAAAGCAGAGGCAGCTGCAAGGTTGTACCCTCTGACCTCCTCTCCGACTCCTCCGCCATTTTCAGTGCCAACATCTCTGCCTCTAGCACCTTCTGTTCCATCAGTCGCTTCTCCTCCTCTGTCCGGATGGCTGTGGCTTTGATTCGCTGCATCTCCTGTTCAGCCTCAGCTGCTTTCTGAGCCAGGAGCTTGGCCTCCTCCTCTGTGATCTGAGCCTTCTCAGCCAGCAAGTCCGCTGTCTCTTCAGACCTCATCTGAGAATTAAGGCACATTAAGTCATCAAGCACACTGAATGTCTCCCCAAATGTGCTTACAAACCCAGGAGCAGGGTCCTGAGCTTCTTGCTCCGCATGGCCCATAGAGTCCCTCTCTTCCATGAAAGCCTGCAGCCTTCTGCAGCCAAGACCTGGATGTGCCCAGGCTCTGTCCCAAGTCATCCTCCTTTGTACTCCTGCCACAGCAGGCTAGCAAGATGAAATCAACCCCATCCAGCCTCCTGATCACCGTCTGCCAGTAGCAGTTTGAGAATAGCCATTGGACAGTCACAGTGTGCTTCCTAAAATGCTTCATCAGTGCAAAGAGCGAGCAACAGCTGCAGTGCCTCGGGAAACAACCTCCCAGAGACTCACCAGAGCCTCGTTGGCCATCGTTGCCTCTTCCTTTAACTGCATCAATCTTCTCTCCAGCTCGTCCCTTGTCCTCTCAGCCTCTTCTCTCATTTGCTTCTCTCGGGCCAGGCGCTGCCGTTCCATCTAGGAGAAAGGTATCGGGGAAAGCAAGGAGAAATAACACATATTAGAAAGGCTTTCCATAGTATGAGAAAGGGTCACTACAAGGGGGTTAGAACACAGGACTGCACTTGCTGCCGCCTCTCTGCTTATCAACATGGGGAACTTCACTAAATGGGCGTGATCTGATGCATCCTGCTCCCTTGAAGAGTGCCATTCCCAAGACAATCCCCTATCCTCTGATCAGGCAGTTATCCACAGCGCTGCCCCACAAGCTGCCTGCAGGTGATTACATCCCCAGACAGTACGTCCCCTTCTACGCTAACTCACAGGGCAGACTCAGACAAGTAGGGTTCCAAGAGCTCCAGCTATGCCTAGAGTTTCTTACGGCAAGTTGAACTGATGGCAAGACTAGGCTTAAGGGCAGTCTGAGGGCATCTTCAAAATATTAAACATACACATACTGCAAGGCAGGAGTTTGAAGGACATGGATAGCTGCTACTTTTGATCACACATCATTCCAGCATGCTGGAAACTTCACTTCCACTCATTTATAGGGGAGGTCACAAAGAGCGCAACCACCCCTATCAATTCCTAGATATGACAAACTCCCTCCCTCCAGTTCTTGTCTGCAGGAAATAGCAATGCTTCTCCAGGAGGGGAAGATCCAAACTAGGCTGAGACAGCCCACCAGAATCCTGCCACCTCTTCCCAGAAGATGCTGAGAGTGTTGTGCAGACAGAGCATGCCTGACAACTGCCTCTCCGCTAGCCAAGAGCCCAAAGGGAACCATGGGGCTAATTAACACACCAAGTTTAAGCACTCCAGTACGACAGAGATGGGTGCAATATCCATGCTACAGCAAGGACTTGCAGCATTGCACAGGCCACCTGCTGGGTTTAATAAGCAAAATAAGCGTGACAAGACACATTTCTCCACTCCTTGGACACCAACTGTGTTCTGAAAGTGGGACGCCCACTGCTCTAATGGCTCTGCTTCCTTCTATTAAAGATTCCCCTCATTAATTATCATTATGATCTGCATCCCACTCAGGACTTCCATTAACAAGAACTCCCAACATAAAAGGACTATCTGGAACCAGTTAACAACAGTGAATCCTGGGGATGGAGGAGAGAGCAGGCAAGACAGCATGGTGGTTAGCTCGGGAGAGGTCAGCCAACCCAAGCAGAAGCCTGACCTTTCCCGTAGAGCACAAGTGCTCTGGATTTGAGAGCTCACGCAAAGCGATAAGCTTCTGCTCACTCTCAGTGCCCGGGGGTCACCTGTTTCACTTCTCCCAGCAACCCAACTAAGCACAAGATTGCAGCTCTTGCTGGTGTTGCTCAAATGCGCACCAAAAACTCAACAAGACTGTGAAACCTGTCCCTGAAGCCACCAGCACTTGGACACCACGCTGCTCCTTCCAAGGAGGACCTTTTGCTTCACTAATGCCAACTCCTTATTGACCAGAAAAATCCCCATGGGAAGCAAAAAGCCCCTCTTCCCCAGAGGCGCTGGCCTGGTTACCCTCCTAGTGACTCATGTCCTGTCCTCTCCTGCCACCCCACAAGCTACGAGAAAGAGAGCTGCTTCAAGAGTTGCCTGCAAGACAAGCCACATCACATTTCCAGGCCAGCTGAGCACCTCAACCCCAACTCCAGCACCATGCAGGCACCTCTGTGGACATGCTCGAATCCATCAACTTAGCAGTCCCTTGAGCATAAGGCTCTCCTGGGTGCAACTGACTGCTTTGGTTTCTTCTGCTGCTATCTAGTGGCTTTGTTGTGAAAGGGACATTTATATCCTAAGCACCAGTACTCAGATTAGCGGTGCAGGTTTCAGTGAGTAGAAAAGGTCTACGAGCAGAAAACAATGATTCATACAATCCAATTTGCTGATATATGCTCATCGGCTACACGCTGCTGCCTCCAAAGAGCCATTTTTGCTGCCTGGGCTGGCCTGCGGCAGATAAAGGAGGCCAGCACCGAATTAGCATGCAGGCTGCACACCCCAAAATGTCAGCGTGCATTCCATCACCATGCAATTAGAAAATGAGGCGAAGTAGTACAGCAAAGCACAGCTCCCCCTCACAGCCCCTGCTTTAATTACAAGCAACTACCCCAGCATACTACATATTTCCAGCTACGGCACCCAGGCATAAACCAAGGCAGGGAAGATGCACACACACTTGTAGGACACCCAGATTAGCTCTTCCCTCCCATCCTCCTAGTTTTGCTCCTGAGTGTAGGGGCTGGTCTCAGGCTGCCAGGCTGCCATCAACCTGCAGAGCCAAGTTGAGAATGACTGGCGAGGTAGGAGCAGGCTACTAAAAAGAGCTGTTCAGCTGGACCGTCCCTCAAAGCTGCTCCATGTGCTTGATGTCATTCTGGAGACTGTTCCTTCCCAAGTTCATTTGCATTTCTGATTTTGGCTCACGGTCTAGTTATACAAGATGTCTCTCACCTGCTTCCTGGCTTTCTCCTCCCTGGCCTGTGCTTTCATCTGCTGGACCTCCAACGAGTCTGCCTTTCTCCTCCTCATGAAGAGGTCGTGGTTTCCAATACACAGCTGAAGAATCTATTCCAGTCAAGGGTGAAGAGCGGAGAGAAACAGCTGTACACGTGATGATGATGAGGTGGTTTGTATTCTTGACACACAAAAACATTAGAACTGCTTTGGTCTGGTGCTTGTAAGCACTTCCACCCACTGACCTCAAACCCTATGAGCTCTCATACCCATATGAGGGGCAGGGAGCCAAGGCACAGCCAAGTCCCATACCAAACACCAGCTCCTGGGCTATCAGCTCTTTGCAGAGACCAATCTTCTGTTTTCTGTGCATCCAGCACAGCACGGTTCTGGCAAGTGTTACACCAGCCCTAAAAAGGCATTAGGCCAAATAACAAAACAAAGACTTCTACAGCTCTGACAGGCTCCCTGGTTCTCACTGCCCCCTTTCTTTAGGTTCAGGATGAACTGGCACCTTCTCCCAGCTGCATGTTTAAAGCACTGAGATTTAAAAAAAAAAAAAAAAAAAGGAAGAAAAAAAAAAGAAGGAAAACCACTTTCCATCTTGGACAAACAGAAAGGCTTATCAAAAACTTCCTTGGACATCTTCAGACACCTTTGCTGAAGGCTTTTGAGCACCAGTGTGGTTTCCTCTGGTACTCAAGGAAAACAAAGAATGCAGCAATACTAGAGGAGCGTTAGCAAAGGGGTGGATACACAGAAGAGTGAAAGCTCTTTTTAGCAACAAAAGAAGGTTTCTAAACTCAGATTCTTTTCTAAAGGACTGATTCACATGCCCATCTTCCATTTCACAAGTCACAAATGACTTCCCTGGAGTCAGAGGAGCTTCAGCACTATGAACCTGATGAGTGCAGTGAACGAGACCTTTGTCAGAAAGCCCCACTTCCCTATGGCATGTGAAGTACAGGACAGCCTATAACCAGGACAGCAAAGGTCCCCTCCCTCTCTTATAAGGACAGGAAAAATATCCCCCTCTGCCTTCTGCAGGTCCCTCGTGCAACTTAACACAGTGCAAAGCTACTACAGAATCTGGATCAAAGCTCCTCCAGATACCAAATCCAGAACACTAGCTAAAGCTGGTCTCTAACACGAATCCTGAACAGAACAGCTCAACATAGCCTCCTCCATCCTTCTACAAGGAGAGTGTCCGCACAGGGGACCAGCCTAGGAAAAAAACACAACTGCGACTCTGATAACAGTGCATCCCAAACAGGGAGATTATGTCACAGAGCAGAATGGAAATGATCCACAGAAGAAGAATGGGGATCTGGAGCAAAGACGGGGTTGACAAGTAAGTTTTACTTACTAAGTGCTTCCACCATGCAGGTCAGCTGTAACCTGAGAGCTCAGAAAGGGAGCACAAAAACAGGAGAGGGGGGAAAGGTTCTGTGAAGGAGCTTCACTTCGAGCTTCCCCCTTCTCTTCTAGAAGCTATGACAGATTAGTAACTGCTGTATCAAATCACATCTACAGTCCAGCCAGGCCAGCACGCTCCCACTGACTGCTCGAAGGAAAAGCCCCAAAAGAACATTGTCTTGTAACTGCCGGCAGAACTCGTACTGTAGGCAATAAAAATTACTCTGTCTGTAGACTTACCAGCTTATTCACACGCAGCTTTGATGAATTGAATTTAAAAACATCAATCTTTTTGTCCAATGGCTTAATAGTAAACTGAAAAGGAAAAAATAAAGGAGGAGGGAGTTATCAGAGAGCGGTGCATTTAATAAAAATGCAGCTGTAAAAGTCGTACTGAAAGCTTTGGCTCAGAGGAGGTCAGCAGTGTCAGACAAACAAGCCTGAGAACTGCCCCTGTGGCTTTTAGCCAATAAGAGAACTAGTATCAAAAGCAACCAAGGAGACAACTGTTCCTCCAGTCAGAAAAAAGCGAGTGCCACACAGAAGCAATGAGAGTGTTGTCCACCTACAGACTGCAATGCCCAACAGCCGTTGTCCTCTGCAGAGCACCTTGCAGAGGGCAGAGACAGCTCAGCACCTCCCAAGGAAAGGCAAGATGCTGCTCTCCTGGCAGCTGTAGAGAACAGAGAAGGTATGGCAGAAACTCATGACACTTCTGAACGGAGGAAGAACCAGCACAGCTGCCCGATGGATGGGCAGGAGGGTTGCATTAGAAACACAGAAACAGCAGCTGCTGTCCTTCCCATTGACACCTCCACTCACAAGGGCTCCCCAAAATTATTTTCCATGCATTTGTTCTCCAGAAGTCAGCTGTGTCACAAGACTGCTCTGCAATTCAAAATATTATTCCCTCGCTCTAACTTGTATTTACACTCCACAACTCCAACTCCGGTTGGCACACCAACCGAACAGCTGTAACCATGGCCTGGGTTTACGCTCTCCAAAGACCTTTCCCACAGCAGGCCTCTCAAGAGGATATAGGTGGCATCGCCAGACTCGAGAGTTTTGATAAGACAGCCCCTGGATAGAGAGAAGACTCTGAACTAACAAAAGGATACTTGAAGAGATGGAGTGCTCCGCAACACTGCATTTTTTAGAAGGCATGCATCTATTCCATCACTCCCCCACATGCTACAAAAATAACCGGCTGAAGAGACAGCGCTCGAGCTGGCAGTCTGTGTCCATTAAAGTAGGTCTATTTGTCAATACATTGTACTACCTGAAAAGGGCTCAGCTGAACTCGCCCTGGCAGTGTTTTGTTTTGTCAGTTTAAGAGCCAATCTTTTAAGACTTTCACACAGGCAGACGTGCGCGAATGTCCCTGGACTCGGGCTCCGGCAGAAGCCCCACCAGTCACTGAAAGCAACAGCAGAAATATGCCAGGAGAGGAATTTCAGTTCCACGTAAACAGTCAATCTTCATTACAACGGATTAAACCCCTCTGTTGTGTCGACAAAGCTGTCATATCCAGCTATTAAGCCTGTTTACTATCACGTCAGGTCTACTTGTGGTCATCTTATTACACAGATGATTGACCTGATAGAAGGTGGCAGTCCTTTCCCCCAAGAGAAAGCTCTATTACAGTCTTGTGTCAAGGCCTGGTTATGGAGGCTTCAATCTCCAGATTTCTGAGGCAAGGCCTGATCAGACAACTTCCACTGCACTCATGTGTCACAGGCAGGAAAGCCTTCGAAAGCCACTAAGTGCTGGCCTGTTTTGCAGAGTTGTGAAGCTCTTTATTTTTAAGGAGTAAAACAAGTAAAGACAATTCCAGCACAGCCTTACTACTTATAAAACTTCACAAGACATGTAATATATGCAGCTGATGAAAAACCTTTAGCTTTTACCCTCATCAATATCATGTTTAGGTTGGAAAACAATTTTTAATTAAGACGTTAATTTTCTTCCTTACCATAAAAGCAGCTGGTTTTCTCTGAGCAGCTCTCACAGACTGAAAATTGAGCAGATCAGCTTCCCCCTCCACAGCCAGTTTCACTGCTATTCTCAACTAGGTTTGGTAGCCAATGATTCAGAAGACTTATATTTATGCTCTGGATGTAATAAATATCTATCCAATAGTAGGCTTAAATTACTCAACTTCCTAAAAAGATTCCAGCTGTTACACTAAGCCCAGCAGCCTGAAGACTCAAGATGATGCAATGATACGGCAAGAAGCAAGAGCTCTTCTCACCAGGAATACATCTCACTATATTTCATAATACAGTATATATACACAGTAATATATACTGTAATACATACAGTAAAGCAGAGACCTCAACTTCTGAGCTTTAATATTTGGGCTAAGCACATCAACAGCAATTTTGGTTTTTGAAAAAAATTACATAGCGGGTTTGAACATACTCTAAAACCAAACAGGAGAATAGCTCCCAATTGACCTCTTGTATGCTCACTCCTGGAAGGTTTCAGAAAGGTTTTCAATTGGAGGAGCTGAGCTGCCCTTAGCTAAGCTGCTGATAGCAAGCACAGCAGACAAAGAAGCTAAGACAAATCATGTTAAATTGCAACTGTGTTCTTACTGCTCTCGGGGAAGAGGGGAGATGTATCCATACCTCTTTATCGCTGTATGAGATATTCCGGATCTCATTCCATGGAAAGGAGATTTTAGGGGTCAACCTGTTGTCTGGGTCATAAATATGAAGACCCAAGGCGTCAACTCCAAGGAGCAGTTCAGTGCCCTTTTTATTCTATGGGAGGAAAGAAAAGAGCAGAAGACCCTTTTATTCCACTCAGAGGGTCTGACATGAGCCATTGTTAGCTTCATCAACCAGCCCTGAGCAGTGACCCACCAGCACTGCATGTTAAAAGAGCTTCTGCCTTCCCAGCAGCTAGCAGTGAAGCATGCTGCAGCAGGGACTCTCACCAATGCACCGCAGCCATCTCCCAGGGCTGCTGGCTCTCCAAGGCTCCAACTCATCCAATCTCACAGCAATGCAAAAGATGAAGACTAACACAACAGCTACACCAGCAAGAAAACATGACCCACAACCTACACTCACCCTAATCGCAAAATAGTTCACTCCATACATCTCCAAGTCCTGAGCTATTTTCAAATACTCCATTTCAGCTTCATCTCTGTCAGAGGAAAAAAAGGCCAGTGTTACAATGTTTGGTAGGATCAGAGAGAGGGGGGGGATGGTTGCTCTTTCTGATCCTAAGCACTCAAAAGGCTTTAAAGCGTGGACTGTCTCTATCACACAGGTCAAGCCTGTCTTTGCTGGCAGGATCAATAAAGTCCAACAGCAAATCCCACTCTGCAGCTTGCCAGCATCTTAATGGCTGCTGATGCCTGCCTAGCAAGATGCAGCACTTCAAGCCTTGCTTTGTCCATCTCCCAATCCCTTAAGCATAAATAGGAAATCCCCGGCTGGGAAGCCCCCATTTCAGATCCATCTGACTTTAGGCTTATCCCCCACAAGGAGCACCTTTTACCACCTGAGGCAGTCTGAATCCCCATTTCTTTTCCTGGCTGAAAAAGCACCCTGACCCCCTAGACAGGCAGGGCTGCCTGCCTCCCTGCCCCTCTGCAGGTGGTCCCTTACTGAGCATCAGTCCTAGAGTCTCTCGAGGACCCCCTCAGTGACCAAGGGGACAGCAGGGCACATGCAGAGAAAACAAAGCAAGCCCTATGCCCTTCATGAGTCTGCTACAGAGGTGTGCTGTGATTAACCCTGCTGTCAGCAGAGCTCATCCATCACCTGCCCAAGCTCCCCAAACCCTGGTGACTCTTCAGGCAAGGGGACTGACCCCAAGTCACCACTGCAGCATACACTCACCTTGCTCTGCCTCGGTGCTCTGCATACCAGGCTGTTATCCTTTCCTCCCACATCTCTGGAGTCATCTGGTACAGGTTTATTACCTGAGATACGTGGGGAGACAGAGACCAGGTCACACTGCCGCTCTTGTCACAGTCTCCTTAGCCAGCAAGCAAGCCAGAAACACCTGAACCCAAGCAACCCCTCACCAGCACCATGTCCAGCCTCAAGACAAGGGACTCTCATCAGGGCACACTCAGCCCCACACCCTGCGATTGCCCAGCACTCACTCAACCCTCCCAAGCACACAGCACAGTCAAACTGTCCCCAGGCCACCACGACGCGATGCAGGCAGGATAAAACTGTGAAAAGAAAATGTTTGCTTCTGTTTTTATTAAAATATGCCAGAAAGAAATTGAATTGTCCTCCCTCAATACACCTTTTTGGATTGTTTGCTGTGGTAAGGAAGCCCAAGGAAAGCAAAGCAGGGTGCACCCCGCAGGCAGTCTCACGGAGACCTTCTCCGCAAAGGGGTCTGTTACACAAAACACCACCAGGCTTGGAAACCTACTCCTCTGTTCAGCCGAGCTCCTTACCCGCTTTGGAAGCAACTCCTCTTGTGCCAAGAAGCCTCGCTTGTGGACATTGGGATCGTAATCGCCGTACTGGAAAGAAGCACAGACATTGTGCCCACCCCACATTAATAACATGGGCAAGAAAAACTCTTCACCCTTACACATCCACCCCCTGGGGAGAGAGCAAATGCAGACTGCTTACACCCTTCACATCACAACCTGTTAGAGCAGAGAACATATGCTGCTCGGTAAATTTAATAACCGTATTTTCTTTGTCATTTGATCACTAATAGAAACTAACATCCTCCTTCTACTCATGCAGCAGAGGTGGAAGCAGAACAAAACTTCCCACCATCAGCTGATGTCCACCACCAGCTGACGTTCACCATCTGTCCACCAGTTGGACTAGATGATTGTTGTAGGTCCCTTCCAACTGAACTATTCTATTCTACTCTAATTACCATGCCCAGAAAACACTTCCTCCGATGCAAGGAAAGACTCACTCTATAGCTGAGAGGTCCTTGCCCTCACACTGGTCGTGGGACAGGGAGTCAAGATACAGACAAGGACCTGTCCCCAAAGGCTGAGCAATACCAGTAATTCAGGTGAGGCAGATGGCGATTTCTGTGTTGCTGCTCACCACCCTAATGAACAAATATAAAAAAAAAATTACAGGAGTTTGACAGACTCCTCTTGGGCGGGTGTCAGTTGTTATGCCAGAGGGTCTGTTGTTCGACTGGGTCGTGGAATCCAATTCAGATTTCTTAAGTGCATCCAGTAATTACTAGTATTTGTTTAGATTTACATCTTTTTGAGCAGCATATAAAGTGACTGAGAAATAAAACTGCTTATTAACAGATTGAAAAGCTGAGTGTCCCTGCAGTGCATGTGAAAATGAATTTACCTCCTGTACAGCTTAAGAGGTCAGGAAACCACCAGAAAGCGGCACCTCAAATAACCTAGCAAGTTCAAGAGAAGAGGACGATGGATGTGAGGCACGTACACGAAATGCTGCAATTTTCATTCACCCAGCAAACAGGACTTCTGCAGTGACATTACCCAGTTACAGAAGACATGGCAACGTTTGCTCAAGTCACTCATTTTGCAAGGGAGACAGCCCTTCCCTCCCTGCATTTCTGAAGGACCTCAGTTCAGAAAGTACAAAATGGTGACAATCTTTAAAACCAAGACCAAGACACACATGGTGGTCATGTAATAAGTCAGGAAGCTTTCCATATCAGCCTCCTTTTAATGCCAGAACCATCACGTTGTACACTAAAACCAGAGCTCAGCATCAAACGTCTACACATAAATCCTCTCTGCAGCCCAGCAAGCAACGTTTCATAGATGACAAGCAGGGATTAAAGACGCAAATATTGATTTGGAGCCAATGCAGATGCAAAGGAAGCATGCAACAATCAACACTGACTCAGACTTCAATTAATATAACAAAACCACCACGGATTTCATTCAGAAGGGTGCTGAGCAGCGGTAACTGTCTGTCCTCCAAGGTCTACAGATGCTCGGAGCTCCTCAGAAAGCAGTGCATTGCAGGTACACGTCCCTTGAACCCACATCAAAAGGGAACAGCAATAAAAACGTGGCACTGGCAAAGGAAACAACTCCAATAACCTTGGAGAGGCAGAAAATAAATCATTTTTAGGTGATGAAAATAATAGCAAATAGGATTAAGGCAATTATTTTTTGTTGTGATCTACCGTGGAGATCCAAGACTAAGTATGGATTACGTGATTTTCATGTGGTGAAAAATATTGCCACGTCCCAAAGGAATATTTGTACTGAGAGGGAGTCTGGATGAGAACATTAATTATTCACAAGTCAAAAATCAACAAATGGCTTAAGTATTACAGTATATGTTGGATCAAATGATTCACCAAACATACTTTTAAAGACCTTTTCAATTAAATCATTACTTCAAAACTGTCATGGAATTTCAGGTCCTGTAATTGAACTATATGATTAAGATTCATGGTTACACATGGAAGTTGCCTTTACCTCGTTCATACACCTGGCTTACATCCTCCTGGATAAATACAGGCATGTTCAGTTTCAAACTATTAACACCAAGTGTTTTTTGGTTTTGGGAAAAAAACAAAAATAAAAGATCCCTTTGCTAGTGCTACAAGATTTGAAGTGCTCAGAGGGCTGCAGCATGGCAGCAATCTGCATTTAAGGGGCAAGAAATGGAAGAACCTCCTGGACATTACCATTTTCTGCTGGGACGCATTTTTCAGTAGATCCCACGTCTCTCCTGACTATTTAAAACCTGAACCGCCTCCAACACCTGAAAGCAGTGTGGGTGGTTTGAAGGCAGGACTAGAGGGGAAAACACATAGTAACTCCCCAAATGAACACAACAATATAGAAATAAATAAGCTTTTATTTTTATGACCCACATGTTTACTTTGTTATTGCAGGTAGGTGTGCAACAACACTACAAACCAACCTGGCTGTCAATCAAATGGCTGCAAACACACTGCTATGTCAGGCTGTTATGCCCCTAATCATGCAAATCAGCACATTATTAGTGAAATTACTGTGCTCAGTGGCCGCTTTCTTGTCCAGAAAGGACATCATTATCCTGTTTAACTGGAAGGAGATGACCTGCAACATCTTTCTTCCCAGCTCTGTACCGAAGACGTGCTTTCAGCTTTCTCCTTTGCTGAAAAAAAAGCAGAAGGGGAAACCCTGCCTGGAGGGGCAGCAAGGAAAAGCCATGTCTGATGCAGACATGAAAGCACATTAGCAAAGATCAGAGAAGGCATCCCTCTTCCACATTCTCAGAATCTCTGTGCAGAATCAAGACATGCAAGGTTAGGAGAGTTGCTCTGACTCCAGCTGACCAAGTGTCGAGCACATCGAGTGTGCTACTGAGCACCAAGGTCAGCAGCCGAGCTGCAAGAAGAGAAAGGGGACAGCACAACAGTCCTGTACCAAATTACAGCCTGTTCCCGATTGCACGAGCAGAAGCTGTCACGGCCAAGAGTTAACACTGCTCAATATTTACCCAATGGTTTATTCATTTTGGCAACAGGAAAAGTCATCCCCTATGTATCCTCAGCTCAGCAGGTCAACAGACAAAAAGCCAAGTAAGTGTTTACTCATGTACTCTAACAAGAGTGATGAATGTTTCACACAAATAGAAACATTTCTAAAAGCAACTTGTCTTTCCCTGGCTGATGAGTCTCTCAAACAAAGTACGGTTTCATCTGACTATCAGGAGAAAACATCTTCTTCTAGTAAATTCAAACATTCATCATCAAAGAACACTGCTGCATGTCACCCAGGGCTGTATTCAGACAAACCGGGCATGGACTAAAGGGTTATGAGGAAGGTTATACAGCAACATGGAAAAAGCCACAGTGAAACGCTGAGGACTGGCCTCTGTTTCCAACCAGCCTGGATCAGGTCCTCTCTTCAGGCAACAGAGCCAAAGCCCCGCTCCTGCACGGTCAGCTAAGGCGGTCTCGCAGACCAGAGAGCTACTCTGCTTCTCCTAAGCTGCTTGACGGTCGCCCTCCTCAAGGACAGGCAGACAGGCCAGACCCAGGGCACAGCCACCTGCCTGTGGTTCTGCAAGCCAAAACACCTCCCTAAATTGCATCCAGAGTCAGAACCAACTACAACCATGAGACTACAGCGATAACATAGCTGGGCTGCGATCGGACTCCAGTCACTCCTTTTCCAAAGACATTGTCTTTACGCACATAAACTGGAGATTAGCTAGAAGACTTGGTAATTGAGCAGCAGTGTATGTTGTGCATAATCAGGGACAAATTACTTCCCCTCCTGCAAGAATGTCCCCACTTCTGAATCTTGGGCTGCTCCTTCTATCCCAGGAGTCCCTCTGCTGTGGGCTGCGGCAAGCTGTCCAAGGCTGCATGCTCCAGACTGGAAAAGAGTGTTCTCTTAAATAAATCCTCAGCAAAATATGCTGACTCTGGGTCCAGGGCAGAATGCAGCCAAGGAATGAGGGGAATTTAGTAACCATTGACTTCTTCCTCTGTCTAGTGAGGCCAAATACCCAAGATCAAACCCAAGATAAAGGGAGAAGTCAGGAAGAGCTCTTTAACACTGCAGTAACGTGGCAAGCTGTAGCACTCAAAATAAAGTAGTTATCATGATGACAAGTATTCTGGGGAAGCAGCAGAGCTGTGGGTCGCACAGCTGGTTTGCCTCTGGCTAGAACGACAAGAGCAGGGAGGAGATCCAAAAAAGCATGGGCTTGGGGAATTCACCTGCTCCAGTAGTAAGCCACACATGAGCAGGCACTGCAGCTCATAAGCTGAGTGCTTGCTAAAAAGGCCTGGAAAGAAAAAGCAAAAAATCTGTCCAACATCTGAAGGTAGCCAGGAAGCAGCTGTGCAGAGAAGGCAATAGTGCTATTGTAGTCGCCTCACTTCCCAAGTTTTAACAACTCTCCCTGCCTTCCTCTTCCTCAGGAAGTGGGTACATCGCAAAGCACCTCGCTTCCCACGGGCAAGACTAACCCACCACCACCATCGGCAGGCCCCTGGAAAATTCCCCTGTGCCTACCTTGGCTTGGACAGCGTAAGAGGCCAGCAGGACAGAAGCTTCAGGAGGACAGTAGATCTTCTCATCCAAAATCTGCTTCTTCACCTGCATATAGCAGTAAAGGACACGTAGCACACACTTAGTGGAGCAGTGCAAAGCATGACTGTCACAGCAGATGGTTGCAGTTTATTTTAACTCGAGCCGTCAACCACACAGGTAATTTTCCTAACACTAATTACAGTTCAGACCCAGGAAGTCTCTGATGGCTCACAAGGGAAGGGCTCAGGCTTTCACAGGCCACCGTTTTCAGACAGGTTTGTGAGAAGAGCTAATTTATACGTGGAAAATGACAGAACCCGTATCCCATTGCTAAAGGCAAGGGCGTGGAAAAAAAGTCTTGCGTGTAAACACGGAGATAAAACCTCTTAAGGCATAAGCTATGGATTGATACGACATCTATACACAACACTAAATTAAAAAAGAAGTTTGCAGCCAAGTCTCTGAGCACACAAATGTTTTGGTCTGGGATATTCAGGCCTCTTTATGAGTCAGTGCTCACCTGTGCTCGAGGCTAATTCCCTCCAATCCCACCGACAGCAAGGAGAGCGGCGGGTCACCTCCGTGGCAGTGCTTTTAGCAGCAGGCAAAGCCCTGCACATGCTCCCATGAGAGCCAACGTGCAGTTCCCAAAAGCCACGGCTTTACGTTTCGTGGCTTCTGTGCATTAAAAAATTAAACCTGTCATGTTTGATATTTTTTGGTTTTGCGCACTTAATTTTCCAGAATAAGGATAGGAAAAAAAGCATACTATTTCCTGGGAGACTTAAGTGGATTGTCACAGAGACGCAGTAACATCAATTTGAATTTATAACATGCTCTGAGTCCTCAAAGTTGGTTACAGCTTAATCACAGAAGATATTCTCCTGCCTTAAGATAAAAACAGGAGAGTCTGCAAGCTTACGTGTGCTCCCGCTTCCCATACACATTACAGGAGCCCAGGCTCCTCTCATCATCAGAAATCCTAGTAGAAAAGTCACGGTCTGCATTTACAAAATGCAGCTTTAACTGTTTTTCCTCTTCGGTTTTCCTTTTCAAAGATGCCAACAGCATTTTTCCTCATCAAGGATAAAGCCCATGGCAAATGGGACATTTAAAAATAGCCCTAAGGAGACACTAGTGCACAAGACAGACCTTGGAAATTAACAGCAATATTTTGCATTTAGAAGTCCTTTAGCTCTGAAGAACAAAGATGAACTTTGGAAGAGCGAGGAGTACCAAGGAGCTGGTGAGCTCACTTTGAGATCTGTTTGAAAGGGCGGGGCACACTGAAGTCTACAGTGGTATTTCCAAGTGTATACAAATCCAGGTTGCCTCTACTTTGGCGTAACAAAAGTAAGAATGAGTGTCTTTCTCATGTATATAATTAATTTGTTTTAGAAACTTTAAATTAACAGCCACAGAGCAGCTAAGACATCCCAGTGAGTACCTAGGGGTCTGACTAGGACTACTCTACTGCCTGTAACTGTAGTTGATACAACACTTTCTAAGAAATAGTTTCAGAAAATTGATCTTGTCTGAAGGAGGGCTCCTGTGATAGAAGCTCTTCATTACCAGCCACACAGCACAGCTACAACATCAGCTGAGCCAATTTCTCAGGAAATAAAGTTTTATAGCATACTTTAAATAAAAAAGAAAAAAGCCTGAAGAAGTGTTCACCATGGTTTCCAAATGCTTAATGTAAGGGCACGAGTCACTGGGGCAGGCGGGACCATTAGGCTTCCCCTTCTCCTCTGCTTTCACCATCAGTCTCTCATGGAGCTGAGCTTCTGGGATTTTCTTCTGCTCCAGTTATTTGAAGGCTGTTTTGTGAAGAAGTGAACCTTGCTGTACAGCCCAAACATGAAGCAGGCTGGCTGCATGCTGTTCTTGAGGATGAAATTCCCCTGCTTCACATAACGATGCTATCATGTACAAAGGCAATTGCCATCCCTCAGCACAACTGATATGCACACCCTGCAGAGAGGTGGACTCCAAGGCTGTGTGTGTCATTCAAGCCCACATCTGACAAATTCATTTTCCCTAGCTACCACGCACTAATATTACAAATCACCTAATCATTCCTGACAGCTAGTTTACGAGGTCTGCAAGTCTGGGCATCTGTGACTGCTTCATCCAGACAAACCATCTTTGACCTATTTTAAGAAGTTTTTGTTGGTGAAGACACCATCACCCTTCAAAGAGGTGTGAACATAACAATGAGGATCTACATTCTGCTGACCAACTTTCTGACCCTGGAACCTTCTCGCACTTCTGCTCATCCTGGCTCCTTCTCCCTCGGGTTGGAAAACAGTGCACTGACAAGGTTCCTACCTGCAGGAAGAACAAGTGCTGTGTGATTTCCTGGACCAGTTCCTCCTCTGCATTCTCAGGATAAAATTTGGCCAAGAAGTGAAAGGTGACGGGCTCCTCTGTTGGAACATCATGATCCAGAACCTGTGGGATATAAGAGCCATTCTCAGCTACTCCTTCCAGCTTCTTCAGTGCTCTGCCTCTTGCAGTCAAGACACAGTTCCCTTCTGTTCAGATCAGCACATCTTTTGTCAGGCATTTTAGACATCTAGAACAGACGAACCAACCTAAGTAGTTCAGAAACCACAGTTAAAAAAAGAAAACAAACAAACATTTCTGACACTCATAAGGATGCAAGAAAACAAACAAGGCAGAAACAAACAGCATGCGAAATGAGACAGCAAAGGTTGATCCTGATCTGCTGTACGCACATTGCCTCTTCCAAACCTTGCAGAGCAATAGTATATCCTGCTACGCCACCATCTGACTTTTCTCGTTGTTTCCCTGCACTGCCTCCCCTTGTATTTCAGTGTTGTCCCTTGCTACCTTTCTATTGTGCTGGCACTGTCCAGTTCAGATTCACGTTAGTTTAAAACCTTGGCGTGACATGCGAGACACCCAGACCTCTCTCACAGTCTTGATTACGGTTTGGTTTTAGTATAACATTCTTTGGATGCAAACAGAACCACATCTATCACTTCTCTAACTTGCCTCTCAGCAACCTGGAGGCTTGCATATTTGGGAATCATTTCCTCCCTTATCTCCATCTCCTTTTCACTCCTCTGGTAATTCTCCTCCCTAGCTCTTTGTACATCTCAACAACAAAAGAAGCCAAGATGCAACTTTCCACTAAAGGTTTTGTCATTCAGGGGCATGGAAGAGAGACTTTTAGGTTTCATTTACATTACAGTCACCCTGAAGTCTAGCACCCCAGCATGGCTGTCTTCCCTCCAAAATGCCTCAAGGGGATTCAGTGTGCACAGTCCAAGGCTTTACAGCTCAGAAGGAGCTGGGGTGGGGTATCTCTGCCAACTCTCCCCCGCTTGACTTACAGGTGCCATGGGGATGAGATTTAAATACACTTCACCCCGTTCACTTCGATACCACACATAACACAACCTTGGGTAATCGAAGAAAGAGGAAAAAAGTACATTCTCCCTTGTCATCCCACACAACGTCTCAAGGGAAATTTGGTTCCAACCTTCTTGTCCATTTTGAGCCAAGCCACCGTATCCTTGATAGTGTATTGAAGCCCGAAGAACCAGGTTTCTCGGAGTCCTAGTGTCCTGCATACTAGATCAAACAGGTCCTTCCCCTTCCACTTCACCTGCAGGAAAGCAAACAGGAAGCAGAGTTATAAAGATGGATTTCAAACCTTCATCTCTGTTCAACAAAATCCACCCTTTTTTTCACCTCACAATGCCTTTGCGAGTGTGGAGAATGCATCTGGTACAGATAAGGAAACATGCTAACAAAGCATACTTTATATCCTTCCATCTGATCTCATCTGCCAATCACCAACTCCTCCCTCACTAGGAAACTGAGATGTGATTTTTTTCCCACCCCTGCAAACAACACTGTAAATAAAGCCCCCGTTTCTTCCTCTGGCAACCCACCGACATTCAACAGAGGACCTGAAGGGTCTGTTGACGTTGCTTTTGACCCACGCACTGCTATGAGCAGCCTGTTTCCAGCAAGAAATAAAAATCACTCTTAACTGCCCCTCAGTGGCTTTAACGTCTCTACCTATAGCCCCAGGAAGCCCTGAGCAAAGTCCAGTATCAGCAACACAGTTCCACAGACAAGGGAACAATGTGCTCCTGAAAATCACAAGTGAAACGATCTATGCATGAAGTGGGTTCGTTCAGAGCTACCGACCCTGCACATGTAAAAGGGAAAAAGAGCTCTGGAAAAAAAATTATCCCTGAAGTCAGTGGTTCGGTCGGAGCATGTTTTGATAGAGTCAAACTGCGTTTTCTGCTGAAAATGTTGGTAACAAAGCAGCTCAGGAGCAGAGAAAATTGGTCCTGCTCAAAGACCGTGTCCTTCAAGCAATCTTGCAGCTGCATCTATGTTGTTACTGAAGTTTGCTCATAAAAACAGAAGGCGTTGGGAGGCAGAAAGGTGAAGAGGGACATAAAACAGATGAATCTGATATGCCAAAGCCACTTTGGTCTTCCATCTGCACGGTGGAAACAATTGCTGGACTGAGACATATGGCCATTACTCTAAAGCCCTAGGGCAAAAGGGCCTCGGCACATTCTCTTGTCACTACAACTCAATCTTGGTACCACCTGGACAGCATCAATATTAATGCTCAGGCACAGCAGGGACTGCTGGTACGGGTGACATGCCGCTCCCGCTGTCACCCACTGCCGCCTTGTGGGCAAAGCTGTTGAGGACAAGCTTATTGCCATTCTGCTAGCTTTGATTAAATGAGTATATCGTTATTTTCTCCCCCTCACAGGGCACACACACGCACACTGACAGGCTCAGAATAGAATAAAGCCGACGATACCCTCCAAAAATCAACACCCCAGGACGGCTTGCAACAGCCTCTCTGCAGTTCACATCAAGCGCCGTCAACACCTCGAGGTCAAAAACACCAGGAGGAGCAAGTTTTGCAGTGTAATTACAAAACCCTAATTTCACACATTTAGCTAGCCTCCAGTCCCCATGATGAGCTCCAGCTCGGCACAGGATGGCTCAGATTGCGGAAAATCTTTTCCTGACTATTATTTTAAGAGGGAGGTTAATTCGAGGGTTCAGACAAAACAGAGCGAGACACATTTAAACAGCTATTTTGTACCATTTCTGTAGGCACATAAAAACAGGCTGCCATCAAAGGGCTATTTCTTAACTAGAATGAAACTGCTTTGCATAAAGTGTTATTGGCTTTTTTCTTTCTGCAAAGACCACATTTCAGCCTATTGCTTTAGATGAGCGATCGGTGCCTGCATGCACACAGCCCTGCACCAAACCTTTCCTAGGACAGGCTCCTGCATGCTGCTGACAGGAGCATCTCCTCCCCAGACATCGCTCCACGTCCCATGGGATCGGTGTTTGGAACAACCTTGGAGCAACCCCACCGAGTCCCACCCAGCTAGGATTTCCACCAGCTGCGGCTCCCCACCAAGCCGCCCCTGCAGAGTTTCATGCCGGCACCGAAACCTTATTCACCACACTGCACCAGCTGGCACGACCCAAAGACCTCCTCCCTAAAAGCAAGCCGGCAGTTAGTTTCCAAGACCAGCAGCGAGCATTAAAGCAAGAACTTTGTGTGTTCCCCCCCCCCTGCAATTTTAATTTGGTGACAGGAATATTTTAAGTGATTGCTTCTGCTGCTAGATTTTACACAGCCACTCTGTCATTGCACGTGTACGTTATGGCAGAAATATATATTTAACATTCCTGCCTGCACAGTGCTAAAGTCTCCAACCAAAACATCGCACAGACATCCTCCCCGACTGTGTTGAATTACCTTCATTAAATATATAAATGGAACAGCAGCCACGTTTATTTCAACATGCGTGATTTCATTCCACACCTCGGTACTTAAAATAACAATCTGCATTCAAGTGGCATCTTTTGACAGCTGAACTCCAACTGTTATACAGACATTCAGGACCTCAGCCCTCCTTACCCTTACTTGATAGGCCTCGTATCATTAACTGCCACATTTTCTGGCCATAAAGCACCAAAAAAGACACCCCCCCAGGCACAGGGAGATGGAGAGAGCTGCTGTCCAAGGCTGGGCAGAGAGCCTGGGGGAGATCCAGGGCTGGCAGTTCCCCATCCCGTCCTCTGCCTGTAGCACCATTCCCCTGCTCCGCACTAAAGTGACACCTGAAGCACAAAGTCGATTTTGCAAGCCATTACGAGCTTCTGAAAACAAAGCAAAGAGGCTTAGAGGAGAAAAATCCCCTCTCAGCCATATGCCAGAGCGGCTGGCACGATGCTGTAATAAAGTTCAATCTCCCAATAAAAACCCACATCACGATAACCTCAACCCAACCCGTAGGACGGAGCCAAATGCGACCATGCTGCTTCAGCATCCTCCATCAGCTGCAGGCGTCACCTCTTGCATTTGCAGCTTTGCTTTCTCCCATTAGCATGATGGCAACACGGGTTGTTAGATATATTCGGCAAGTCATTGAAGGAATACGTGGACGAACTGCTTTATAAACAGGGTAAGCGCTGCAAGGCTGTTATTCTGCGGAGCTGGAATTTATGTTCTTTACTAAGTACAGAGTGCTTACAATTTATCAGCAGAGCGTTTTAAGTAAACAGCACTAAACACTTAAAACTCAGCAGCCAGTGGCTAGAATAGAGTACTTCCAGTACGGGTTATTGGCATCATCTTTTTCTCCAGCAGAGACATTGCATTTGGCATCTATTAACAGGGTTTGCACTATTTATTAACCTGCACCAAGAGTCATTTCCAACTAGCAGGCAACTGGGCAATGTATTTCTGTGCACAACCTTTCTGTCAAGTTTCACAACTATTCCTTAGCTAACGAGTTGATAAACCAGCCACAAAAATGAGCAGAAGGGTTATGAGATCCCCTTGTCATGCGGTGACAAGGAGGGAGGCCAAGCACTACAAAAAATGGGGAACAAGAGGGTGCAACCATCCTGCGTGGAGAGGGTTGAGCAGAGGGTCTACAGAGAAGAGCTGTTCCCAAAACCCACTGGCATAGGCTGATGCTTTTCTTCCAACAATGTCAAATTGAATTTATACCAGCTACCTGGAAAAGGGGGAAAATAAAAAAAAAAAAAAGGACATTTTTTAACCAGTTAAGATTAAGGTTCCTCATGCAAGAAGCTCTCCTTGGACAACAGGGAGGTGCCCATACTCCAGGGGACAGAACCCGGCTCTGTCTAAGGACGGTGGACAGAGTTCTCACCTCCTTGTCATCACAAATGCAAACCACCGGACCTTCAGCCATCCCTGGGGTCAGGCTGGGGAATAAGGGCACAAATAAGTGACTGGAGGACATTAAGGCAGCGCTCACCAGCTCAGCCCAGGCACGCTGCCTCCCAGAGCAAACCCATCACAACAGTCCCTCTGTACCCCACACAATGCAACCGCTTTGCAGAAGGCACGGTACTGGCTTAAAGCATGACCCTGAAGAAATTACTAACATCTGTGAAATATTTTACTGCACCAATTTACCCTTAAGTAATGCAGAAAGTGGCTTTTCACCTTAGCAGAACATTTTATTAACTGTTAGTTCTGTGCCAGAGATGAGAAGATAGCACAGAGCCCCTGTTGTGATGACACGACAGTCTAAAAGACCACGCAGAAAAGGGGACCAAGCCCCCGAAGCAATGCTCAGCTTCTGTGACGTTATTTCCATTTAGAAGCAAGCTTTAATACGAGGATGTGACACCTCTGCACTGAAACAGGGAGGGAGACGGCAGAAGGGAGAGGGCAAGGTCTGAGCAGAGAATCCCTCCACTAACCACCTGGGAAACAATAAATGGGTAGGCTATATCTATTCCTCATCCCACCAGGAGATGCCCAAACAAACCACCCACAACAGTTTACAACTGAAATGGAGATAACTTTGAGACTGCAGACCACATTCATTTCTCCTTCTGGACTTGGATGATAAGAGGAGTGCCACAGACAACCATTTATTTAGATTTAAAGCCCATTTGGAGCAAACGGGGAATCAAATATGCACTATTCTTCCATTTTTTCAAAAATAAAGTCATGTCAAATACTTTCAGTTGCCACTTACTGAGCCACAAGACAGGGCCATAAAAGTTATTTTTATTTACTAATGCTACACGACAACTCGATAATGAGCTTTTAATTAAAATCTATTTCTGTTAACCACCGAGGAGGCCAAAAACTCGCCCAGGCGTAACAACGCAGATGGTGCAGCCAAGTACATTTTGTGGTGTCTGCCCAAGACAGAGACAGAGCAGGGTACACAGGAGAACAAGCTGCTGCAGCTCTGGCCAGCCGGCACCGAAGTGAGTGGGACAGGCAGAGGGGACAACCACCAATGATGTCCCAGAGCCTCACCTCACCCATAAGCTGGGGTTGCACAGTTTAAGAGTTAAAGGGTCAGGCAGCAGCTTGATGCAGGGGAAGAAGCTCCAAGAGGCCAAGAGAAGGATCTTGTTCCTGCAGGGATCTCTGGCCTTCCTGTGCCAAGGATGCACAGAGATAACACATTAGATGGAGCCGCCTCTGTGCTGCTGTTGCACGGTGTGTAGTACAGCACACTCCTCCCCGCCCCAGCAAGGGCCACACAGGGTAGCGATCCCAGAGCCGAGCCTTACCTCTGTGTGGGAGCCGACTGCTGA